AGCGCTTGTGACCCGTAGCGCTTGCGATCTGTAGCGCTTGTGACCTACGTCGGTATCAAGTAGGTTGTTATTGAGAATTAGAATTAGTTTAAAAATATTTGCCAACAATAAATGTTTTTTACATTTACATATCAGTAAGAATTATAAAAAGAAATTTCTGTAATTTGCTGTAAAAATGCTAATTTTTGCATTTATGCAGCTGGTCAACACTTGCAGTTTTGAGCACAGAACAACCTCTTCTTTCAACTGGGTAGCGTATGTCCTGGAATGAGGGTGTTAAATTTGAATGTGGCACAATCTCAGAAAATGTGCCGTGATATTGACTGTGCATTATGCTTTGTTTGACAGCAAGATTTAGGTGACACGTGACACTGTTCTTACCCTCAAACCAGGGATAGAAAACGTAATGAAATTCAATTATCATCTCTTTGGCTACTGTTCTAAAGCTAAGGGCCTTCATCAACTTTCGACACCGTGTCTGGAAAGATTAGAATTGGTTTTATCCCAGCCAAACAGGGTTGCCCTCAATGTTTGCTTTTCTGGAGAGATGGAGCCACTTTTTCGCAAGAAATTATATCCTGCTGCCAGTGTTTTAATTTCTTAGATTGTTTTTTCTGAAAAATGGTAAAATGGTCAGCTCAAAGAGCAACACCCACTAATAGGGGCCCATCGTTTGGTTTGCTGTCGCTCAGCCAGAGACGTCTGTCTTCACATCCCCTTCTGGTCTTTGGTTTGATGAAGCGCGGTTACTTCATTTGCGCCAGGGGTCCGTAACTTAACATGAAACTCCCCTTTAGCGGTACGTTATCCGTTAAAGTTATAACTTATAACTTGTGACCATACAATGAAACGTTAAGAGTTATAACTCATCACTTGTGACCATACCATGAAACGTTAAGAGTTAGACTCAAAATGCCGGAACAAGCTTCAACTAGCATCAGAATAATTTTTGACGACCCATAACTTTAACTTTTATTGCAAATTGTTAGACGTTACGTTATATGACTAACGCATAACACTAATGCGTTACTCGTTAATTTATATAACTAACGCATAACGCTAATGCGTTAAGTTACGGACCCCTGATTTGCGCGTTAACTCAGAATAATAATTTTGCCACGTGTTTTTGGTAACCCACTCTCTCTTGCTCTAAATGTATAAGCCAGTTTTAAACCCCTTTAAAACAGATGACAAACGTAACACATACAATAGTGACGATTCTTTATAAAAGGGATCCAGCAGATGATAGCATTAGATGTGTCTTTTGGGTTGCGTTTAAGAGAATCTGTACAAAGGAATACCAGCATCGCAAAGCATTTCCGGCATTTTCCAGATCGAGACGTCCAAATGCACGGACGCTCAGCTTGCAGGGTCGACTTGCTGCTAGAATAACTAACACAAAGTACTGCGGAACTTCTATAGGCGTACCACGTTGATTCATCTGAAACAAAATAAAACGTTTGCCGCAGATAAGAGGGCGTACCCTTTCAATTAATCCTTGCTTGCAAACGAGGATTAACTTGTCTCTCAATTTGTTTTTTGCTTTGTAAAAAATTGACTCATCACCGCCTTCTAGTTTCGCCACTTCGACGCGCCTGGCGCATGTATAGGCTTGCGGCGCTGACAACTCGGACAAGTTAATAAGTACAATCCACTGTTGGAAAAACACACGGTAAAGGCCTACGGTCTGCGCTGTAAATTTGTTGCCTGGTCCGGCACCGTAATTTTTGGTTACGGTCCGTGTCATACAGAACAGACCGTAACTTGAAAAAATGTTGGGGAAGTCGAATACAGCACTTAGCCCAAACAAAAAAGTACAGTTCATACTGTTACGGCTGACCGTACGCTGAAAATACGGTGCGGACCGTAGGCAAACCGTAACTGCCTACGGTATTTTTTACAGTGGATCATTGCCCTAGATCGGGATGATTGTTGAGCAGAAGCGCCTGTACCTTCTTCAATTCTAACTGCTGCTCGTGTACAGTGACTCGTGATGAAAAATCAGTCAATGACCAAAAGTGTAATGTTGTGATTCCTGATTCCTGAATAGTCACAGCGATTATTTTACACCTCATTGGTGAGTTGAATATTTAATGCCTCAAAAGATCAAATGAATTCAGTTAATTCTATTCCTGGTTCCAAGTCCCGTATACTGAGTGTCCGTGATTAGTCTCTTGTAATTGCAGGGTTCTTGGTTATGTTTATGGACACTCCATGCCTCATGGCCATGTTGGTCCGTAGTTCCGTAGTGCACATTGGTTCATTTCAAATTTCGCAGGATTAAAGCAGCCGCAACACCACCACCCGGACAGTTGAAGAAGCCATCAGCTACCCGACAATTTTTCCAAACTTTCTGTTCGTCAACGGTCGCCACCAAAATGACCAGGAGTGAAAGATTAAACAAAACACCCCACAAAACAGGAAAAAGTTAAATGTTTCTACTCTAAAACCATCTCGTTTA